ACCAGGTTTGTGCAGCCCTGGTCTGAGCAGCAGCGCTGGTTTTGCTTCCCATCTGGGCTGCTTGCCCTGCATTGAGGGGGCCGGCTGGTATTCACAATTGCAATAATTCCCCAAGTGTTGCTGAATCAGGGCCCTCTGCTTTTAAACGTCATTTGCCCTCTAGTCTCTTAGTGCATTCTATTTTTCCTGTCTTTCACAAAATCAGGATTTGCTGCTCCTCCTTGATGGTATTCTTGTTCCCTTTCACAGTGGAGCTGCATGCTGCTGTGTACCCCCAAGATGTAGGTGAGCAGCAGGGGCACAGCGATGCTCTGCACAGTTAAAACCCAGGAAGTCCAGCAGGAGCTGTTTCCACGTGTCTGCACAGATGCCCATATTCTCTAGAAATAGCTGCTATTTCTTCTCCTTGCATTTTTGCAGAGTAAGCAGCTGCGTGCCAAACCGCACACAGCTCTTGTGCAACACCCTCAGAGCCTGGGCTGGTGCTCAGAGTGTGGCTGCAGAGGGGCTGCTGTGGAATTGGAGCGTAAGAACAGAAAATTGGGGTTTGGGTCCCAGATCACCAGCCATGTGTGTCCAATAGTTGTGGTAAAACAAATAACTTTTCACCTTTAACACATTATTCTCACATTGAGAGGTGCTGTTGTTTAACACTGTCATATTTAGAGGACAAAAGATGTTCTGTTTCCCTTTGGGTTTCAAACAGGGACAGTATTCAAGGACAACAGTTACCTTGTGCTCCGAAGTGCTGCATAGACAGGTTGTCGGTGAGGAAATAAACTGTCATGAAGGCATGGATCCGTGCCTAAATAAGATTAATAAGGTTTCTGTGATGAACTTTTGTGTAAAGTTTGGATTGAACGTTTGCAATGTAAAAGCAAAAAAAGGTTCGGGTGCTGGTCACAGCTGATGTATGACGTGTGCTGGGTGCTCACGATCAGCGGTTCCCTACCAGTTGTGTTTTTATTTCAGCCATAAGTCAGTGTAAGTTAAACTGATGTAAACCAAGGCAAACCAGAGCCATCCAAACCCAGCCTGTGCTCCCCAGTTAGTTCCAGATAGGATTAATAGGCTCCTGTGGATGGTGAGGGGTCCTTTCCACACTTAGAGTTTCTGTTCATAAATTTAATAGAAGTATTGATGTTCATTAGCATAAAACCACCTAAAAGGACCTTGTTAGCAGTCCTAAACACCAGCATTCTTTGAGTACACCCAGGTGAGCTCTGTGGAGGTGCTGTACAGCCCCAGTGAAGATCCAGCCCAATTGTGCATACTTTGTATTGTCTGCTGTCTTCTCACCTGTCCTTTCCCTTTAGGATGTCTGTAGCTCTGCTGTGTCCCTTCAGGATGGCTTTGACAACGTAATGGTAACCACTCAGACCATCAACTTCTCTTAATTTTCTCTTTCACACAAACATGTGTTTATTCCAGCACCCGGGCTGCACACTTTGCTTCTGATGAGAATTATGCGCTTTGGCTCTCCTCACCCCTGGAGCACGGTGGCTGCATGTGGCCAGGCTGGGAATACACCTCCATACATGGAATACCTTTTTCTTACAAATATTTCCAATAACAGCATCATTGATCATTTTTTGTTGTGTTTCTTGCTGTGAAAGATCTGAGTAGTGGTGAGATGTCCAACACCACGTCCATCGACGCGCTCTGCCCTCACCCTCAGGCAGGGGCAGCGCTGGCTGCTGTTGGAGGACCCATAGGGATGGACCACGCGTCCCTTTTGGCCAGTGCGTCCTTAATCTCTGCGTGGAAGGCTTTCCAGATGTTACTAATTAGGAAAGCTGCTTCAGAGCCAGGTTGGAGGGCTTTCTGCCTGTCTTAGGAAAACTGCAATGTACTTAAAAGCACTAATTGAAAAGACAAAGCAAAACGTGTTTTTAAAAAGGCTTTGCTGCTCACCTGGCTGTCCATGTTGTATATATATTGTTCCTGTTTTTACTGGTAGCGTGTCAGAGCAGCATCTAGATCACTGTATTTGCAGTTAATTAGCCACACCTAGATAGATAGCAAGTATACATCGAAGTCTCTCAGATCAATCATCTTCTTACTTATGTATGTGTTAGTGTTCCCTGCCTACTTCCAAAGTCAGATTTAGTCCCATTTTGGTCAAACTCAGCCTGCGGTGCCATGGCTGCTGCAATCACCTCTGCCAGCCCCAGCACCAATTTAGAAAATTCCATCTATATACGCTATGGTCACATACCTGTACAGGAAAAAGCAGCTCGTTTTGCTTCAGTGTGAGGTGCAACTGGAACAGAGAACAGTGGTTATTGTGTAACATTGCATCAGCATTAAATAAGTGTTTGGTTTTTTTCCTTTTTTAAATGTTGTTTTTGTGTATCACGCATGCACAGCGCTGGCTTGCAGCCAGTGGCTTGCACATTTAGCTGAATTTTTACTAAATGGTGCCTGCAGGAAGCAGTCCCTGTGCATTCAGCAACATCCGTGCTGCTGCTGAGGAGTGTGGGGCTCTCACAGCACTGGAGCTCACTGGAGGGAGCACCATGTCCTGCCGTGGAACAAACCCATCTGTCCCTCACCGAACCTGTGGCGTTTTGCCCCTGTGCTGCTGGGATCACACAGCCCCTTGTTCTGTGTTTTCTTATGGGATTAGGGCCTGGTCCAGTTTCCATTGCTGTAACTTCCAGTGCCACATGTAACTGCACACTACATGGGCACGAGGGGGCAAATGCTGTCCTTGGGCCCCCCAGGTTGGCTGTCCCTGGGTGACACAGCATGGGGAGCAGTGCTGAGCAGCCCAGTGTCCCCAGTGCCTTGTGTCTCTGCGGGGAGACGCTGCAGCACTGTTTTTTCCAGAAATCAGCCATGGTTTTACCTGATTTCACCTTTGGGTGAATTCAAGTTACATCTCTGTTGGTCTTGTGGTTGGTGCCTTATGGAAAAGCTTCGGAAGCCATTTGCTTGGAGAAATTGCTATTCTTTTTTTTGTTTTCTTCTCTTGACTCTGTTTAAAAGAAGAAAAAACATAAGTACCTGAGTCCCTTTCCCCTGTTGATGCCCAGAGTGTGTGTCCCATCTGCAAGGTGTCCGTTCTGCTCAGCAGTGCAGCCTCACCTATCGAGTGCTTGTTCTGGGAGATCCTTATCTCCATTTGCAGATGTTTTTCCAGATAAATCTGATTTACCCTGAACTTTTGTCAGGACTGATAGATGTTACTCAGTTCACACTTCCTGTACTCCCTAATTTGGTTTTCAGGATTTTCCATGAAAAATGGGTGTGTGACAACCCCATGCAACCTGCAGTAGCTTTGCCCCTGGTTTGCATCTTGCCCTTTCCCTCTCCTGCCTCTTCTCTACCCAAAGCAGTTGGTTTTCCAAATGATCACGTGCAGCATCACAATCACACAATAATTACACAAGCTTGATCTTTGGCAAATTCTCATTTGCCAGTTTTTCACAATCTTGGTCCTGAAATTACATCTAGTGTTTTATTTTTTCCTATTTTCTTGTGCTACAAAACATACTAATGCAGCGATGGTTGAAATATTTAAATTATTTGGCATCAATTGGTCATAAATACCGAGGCAATTTGAGATGGACAAACCGGGCTGTCTGCTGGTCACCAGTACAGGTGTGTTTCCAGGCCACACTGGTCGGGAGCTGGAGATGCTCGCATTACCCATTGATCACACTGGTATTTTGTATCTCATAAGCAAATTGGCTGATCAGCATTTTGCCTGCTTCACCTGGGAAAGCCCTAATGGGGTAGCCTGAGAGAGATCTCAGCTGAGTTTTACACTGGAGGTTGTCACTCACTCTAGGCTCCCTGGATAATGTCATGGACTGTCTTCAAGACATTATTTTATTTCCCATCCTTTGCAAAGCTTTATTTCAAGGGGTGTCTGCAAGACCCCTGTTCAAAGCGGCTCTTTTCACTGCTGCAGAGTTGCAGTCGTGTCAGACATCAAACAAAAGCTAATTCTTCTGTACCCCTGCGAGCACATTTGAGCAGTTTGGCGCTGAGCGGTGGTGTGGGAGTGAAGTGGCCGGGTCTCTCCACGGCTCTTTGGGGCGCAGCTTGGGGTTGGTGTCCAGGTCAGAGCCATACCTAATGAGTACCGTACCCTGATGTCTTTCAGGGCCAGCCCATGGACCAGGCTGCTGTTTTCACTCCACAAGTGCAACCTGTGCCTCAGCTACCCCCCTATCTAGGGCTGCAGCCAACACAGGTACCTACTGCTCCCCCAGGGTGTCTGCGTAACGATACTTTAATTAGAGCTTTGTTACCTGCAGCCTGCTCCTTGTGCCTGTGACAGGCCTCGTGTGTGCTCGTGCGTGCAACCGTGGGACCTCCTTCGAGGATGCTCGCAGTCTACATGTGCTGTAGCTCATAGATGTTTTTAACATGGTCACTTCCCAGTTTTTCCTAATGTTGCTGGTAAAGACAAGCACACCTCAGCATCATGTCTGAAATTTGACCAACTTCTGGTGAGATGGTGATACCAGTAACTCTTTAAAATGGAGCTTTGTTATGTCCTCTTGGTTCTGATACTTGGGGTTTGAGAGGGGAAAGGTGAAGCAGAGGTTTGCGCTGGCCTGGTGCCTCTCAGGGAAGGGTGCACAGCATGCTCATTTGTGCTGTGTGTGACCACAGCGGGGTACAGCTGGGGTGGGGGACCCAGGACAGTGTATGGGTCATGCCTCCGGTTATCTGGGCCTTGTCTCTCTGATGGCGGCCATCTGTAGTTAAGCTGACTGAGCGTGGGTCCAGTAACCACTGTGTGTGTCCCCACAGAGCATGCCCCCTGGGTACACCATGTTCAGCTCTCCAGTGCCCAGCATGATGCTGTCTCCCAGCTGCACCCCCCGGGCCTACACGGCACCTTCTGGCCCTGCACTGCTGGAGCGGCTGCATCCGGCGCAGCACAGCCCCGGGGGATTCCTCCAGCAGCCACCGGCTGCCTATGCACAGCCCTCGGTGGGCACACAGCGGTGAGCATCCACCCTCCATAGTGTTTGTTCAGAGATCTAAAACTTTGTTTAAAATAGTGTGTTAATCAAAATGAGGTTAATGCTGGGTCTGATTAGCAATTAATTTGCCTTTCTGTCCAATTTCCCCATTTTTTCCTTAATTTAATTTTATTTTAAATTGGTCTTGGCACACATAGCCCAGTTGTTCCGTGTGTTTCTGCAACATAAAAACTAATGTAAAGATAGGTGTTGGATCCTATCTCACCACACACACGCACACAGATACCATAGAATCACAGAATTGTTGTGGTTGAAAAAGACCTTTATTAAGATCATCATATCCAACCATTACCTAACCCTGCCATGGCCACCAAACCATGTCCCTCAGCACCACATCCAGATGGCTTTTAAATACACCCAAGGACAGAGATTCAGCCACTTCCCTGGGTGAATATGATAGCCATAGTATGCAAACACGTATGGTATTAAACATTAATAAATATTCCAGGTTTACCAAAGATTATGTAGTCAAGAAAGCACAAGACCAACTTGGCAGTTTAACTGGCAGCAGGCAAATGAATTTTGCATAAGCCTGAGTACACTGAATTGACTTCCCTGAAGTACAGCTGAGTTGCAGTGCCTATGAGAAACAGGAAAAATTCTCTTGTAAAGAAACATAACGGAACAGAAGGCAGATGAGGCAGGAATGAAATCTGTAAAAGAGGGTGTTACAGGGTAAGCAGAGTGAAAACTAGAGTTGCCAACGACAGGGGTTTTTTTCTAACAGCATCTGTGTAGAGGAGCATGTTATTACCTACATCAGTTACTGGGCAAGTACTATGGCAATGCTTCTATTATGGAATATTTTTCAAAGCATTTATGTTTGGGAATATATTCTTCCTGTAACATCTTTTTAAATCTATGGGAGTTTCGTGTCTCAGCTTATAGTTGTGTACACCTGGCCTAACTTGTGTCTGTGTGTAAATGAAGAATAACCCGTTCTATTTCCCCTCAGGTTGAGCCATCAGCCCCTGCAGCCGAGCCCGCTGGCTGGGGGGGGTTTGGAGCAGGCTCCCCTCGTGCCCCTGGGCACAGTGCAGCTCCCGGAGCCTGTGAGGCAGCGCCAGCAGCGCCTCTTCCAGGTGGGGCTGTGGCTGTGCGGGGCCCTCGGGGCAGGGTGGTATTGTGGCTGTCGCTGTCGGGCGGTGGCGTCGTGTGCTTGCATGTATTCACGTCTAAGGCAGCAGAGCCTGGCGCTATGAACCTGGGCTGCTTTGACTCCAGTACAGTAATTCATGGGTTACGTTTGGGATTTCCAAAAGAGAGCTCTGGATGTACGTGTAAAATTCAGTACTTTCACTTTCCAAGATTTTAGAATGCCTTTGCAGAAGCTACATTTGAGAACGGCCTTGCTGAATGTGCTGAGACAAAAGCAGTGGCTGTGCTATTCCAGTTTGGCCTTGTAATGTATACAGGAATTAAATTGAAGGCTTACTGCCTGTCTGGCTTTTTGCCTATGTTCTAGTTTGATGTATTTTTATTTTGGAGGTAAGCATCAGTTTATCAGCTAAATATGTAGGGCTTGGCACAGAGGAAGTAAATAACATTACAAATACTTCCTGTGGCCTTGATGGTTGGAATTATGTTCATGTTTTCTTTGTAATGCAATAGCTGCTGTCGCATGATGATGTGTCTAGATTTATCTAGATATTTTGGCATTGCAGTAAACTAAACATAGCAGCTTTTCAGTGTTTTTCTGTCTATTCAATATGCTCCTTGTCAGCCTTGGTGTGGCTGGCGATGACAAGGGGAGAACCCTTTTCAGCGCGTGTGGTTCAGTGTCACTGCGTTCAGTGTCGGTGTGGTTCAGTGTCACTGCATTCAGTGGTGGTGTGGTTCAGTGTTGTGTTCAGTGTCACGGTGCTCAGTGTCGCTGTGGTTGAATGTCACGTTGTTCAGTGCTGCAGTGGTTCAGTTGCCACTGTGTTCAGTGCCATTGTGGTTCAACACCCGTCTCCTTTCAGTTGCAGCAGCAGCAGCAGGGGCAGCAGCCGCTTGGTCTCCAGCCCACACAGCCACAGCAGCCCTTGGTAAGCGGGGTGCAGCGGGTGCTTTGGGAAGACACGGGGCAGCAACAGGGTGTGTTTTGTCACTCGTGGAGCTGGGCCTTGTGGCAGAATGGGGGGTTCGTGTGAGCCTGCCTGCCCGCTGGTGCTGTGGTTTGGGTTCGCCGTTCAGAGATGCTCCTTCTCACACTGGAGAACTTTCATGTGGCATTCACCAATTCACTCAAAACTGGCACCCAATGCTTCATTTCAATGTATCTTTTTGAAATTACACATAGCAGTGTTGATGTAAAACTGGTGATAAATACCCCAAACAATACAAGTAACTACTTGTAACAGCTTTTCTGATATAGCTTTTCTGCTATATTTCAAGAATGACTTGGGGATGGTTACAAAGTAGGTATTGGTGCTTTTCTGATTCTGTACCTCTGTTTTCATTACAAGTGAAAATTAGACTTTCATTGATTTTTTAGTTTTTCATAATAGCATTTGTCTTCTGACCCATGTGAGTGTCCCAGAGCCAGCACTGCCCACTGCAGGCTCCTCTTGCAGCCCCTCGCGCAGCAGGAAGCGTCCCGGGTGTTGGTTTCGTGTCCCCAAGAAACCCTGGTGTGGTTCGCGCTTTTCCCTAACCTCAGCATTTCCATGGGACTGGTAGCCAGGAGGTTGCACAACGTGCTTAAAGTGAAGGATTTGGTTTCAGAAAGGGAAAAGACGCTGAAGTCTTGTAAAACACTGAAACTGCCTTCAGTAAGCACTGAAACAAAGCACGGGCGTTTTCTGCAGCGTGTATGATGCTATTAGAGGGTTGGAGAACTCCGCTTTTATTCAGCACATCAGGTTTGCAAACTGCTCGGGTGTGCTGTGTGCCCTCCTTCAGAGGCACAGAAAATCACTTAATTAGAGGCGCATGCATTGTCTCCAGATCTAATGAGAAGGAAAACTCAGGATATAGGGAGCAGACCCAGAGAGCTCAGGGTGTGAGGATCAGGCAGGGGGTACTCTGTGAAGGTTTGACCGGGTTTGGGTTGTGTGCCTTGCTTGTCCCCATTTCCCTCCCGAAGCAGGAAGGTGTGCAGGAGCTTCTGCTTTGTACGGGTGATGCATTTCCGAGGGCAGAAATGGGGCTTCAGCACCAGAGGTGTTGGTCGCGGTGGTGCACACGCGGCCGCTCTGCATCAGGTTGCTCTGCCAGATGTTGGTAGCGTGGTGTGCAGTGCATTCAGTGCTCTGACACACAGGAGAGCAATAAACGCTGTTCACAGAGGGTGATTTTCCTCTGAGTGACAGCCAGCAATGCAGAGAGAAAGCAGCGCTGCTGCTCCCCATCCGTGCTTGAAAACCACATGTCATGGGTCCGCTGGCCAGGGAGCGCTTCGTACTGTCAGATGGACCAGTTAAAAGCTGAATTCTGCTCTGGTGCGAGTATAAATGGGGTGCAAATTTGTGACAGCCAATGCACATACACCAAGGGTGCTGTCAAAGTGCTTTAAGTCCCGATTTAATGCATTAGCAGCAGATTTGGCACTTGTGCACTGTGTGTGGCTTTCACCTTTCCTGTTTCTTTTGCAGTTTCCAAGGCAGGGCCTGCAACAGACGCAGCAGCAGCAGCAGACAGCGGCGCTGGTCAGGCAGCTGCAGAAGCAGCTCTCTAGTGAGTGTGTGTGCTCAATGTACAGAAATGTGTATTTTAATGGGGAATTGGCTTTCTGGAGATGTCTTGTATGTTTAAATGCTGCTATATATCCCTGTGCTTTACCCACTGAGGGCTGGTTGTCCATCCCTGTGGTGGTGCAATACCAGAGTTGGTGCTGGTGCACCCGACCGGTTAGTAGGTTGAGATGTTCTCCTTCCCCTCTCTACTCTGCCCTGGTCAGACCACATCTGCAATATTGTGTCCAGTTCTGGGCCCTTCAGTTCAAGAAGGACAGGGAACTGCTGGAGAGAGTCCAGCGCAGAGCCACAAAGATGATGGAGGGAGCAGAGCATCTCCCTGATGAGGAGCGGCTGAGGGAACTGGGTCTCTTTAGCTTGGAGGAGACTGAGGGGTGACCTCATTCATGTTTATGAATCTGTAAAGGGTGAGTGTCAGGAGGAAGGAGCCAGGCTCTGCTCTGTGATGTCCAATGACAGGACAAGGGGCAATGGGAGCAAGCTGGAGCACAGGAGGTTCCATGTGAACATGAGGAAAAACTTTTTCACTGTGAGGGTGACACAGCACTGGCCCAGGCTGCCCAGAGAGGTTGTGGAGTCTCCTTCTCTGCAAACATTCAAAACCCGCCTGGACACGTTCCTGTGTGACCTGGTCTGGTGATCCTGCTCTGGCAGGGGTTGGACTGGATGAGCTTTCGAGGTCCCTTCCAACTCCTAAGATTCTGTGATTCTGTGATCCCACACAGCTGTGTTGGTCTCAGAAGCACCAGTCCTCGTGGCTGCGTTAGCTTCCCTCACTCCTGCAGTCCCGAGGAGATGCATGCGCTGGATCATGTCTGAGGGAATGTCCTGTTGTTTGCTATTACTGCCTGAAATAGGGGTATTTGTCCGTATTTCTGCCGTGATGATGCACCCCCCTGTGCTTCCCCCGCAGGTACCCAGCCTCAGCAGGGAGCCGGCCAGTGCGGGCACCCCACGCACTTCTGAGTGCAGGGAGACGCCAGCTGAGGTTTGCACTGACGAGCAGGATGTTCACCGCTCAGCGCACTCGCTAATGCTGGAAAGCAAACCTTCTTTTCCTTCTCTTATCATTTCAGTAATCATTTTTTGTGCTGCAGTTGATGTGGATATGTAACAAGGCGGGTTTTTTTGGGTTCGGGGATTTTTTTGCGTTTAACTACATTTAAATGTGTGGACTTACAGGCCTGTTTGAAGAACATTATTGCAGATTTTATGAATTTGGTGCTTTTTAGGTCCTGTTACTTTTAAAGACAACAAAGAATGGTGGATTTATTTATTTATTTGTGGGAAACACTTTCTTTAGGTTTTTTTTTCATTTTTGGTTTGGGTTTTTTGTTGTGAGTTTATTTTTATTTTTAAAGAACTGCATTGGACCAAACTACTGAACTGAAAGGCACTTCCAATTCTGGCATAAAAGTTAATTTGTTCATTAAAATGTTCACCTCTTTCTTTGTTGGTAGAACAAGCATCCATTTAAGTTGTGCTTATTTGACCGTAATTTTCATATGCATTTTATACAGCTCTTTGTTTAAAGTACCGATTTTCTCTTGCTCTCATTGTGGTAAGAAGGTGCTGAAGTGGGTTTATTGCTTGTACTAGAACTTCTTAAAGTTTATATTAAAAGCCACAACGTAATGTTAATAAACCTACCGGAAGCAGTGGTGTTTCATATTTGCTCATTTCCATATCAAGTTCGCTGGTCCTCAGCTCCAGAGGGGCACACGCTGTAGCAAGGAGTGGGCTTTGCTCCGCTTGTGGGGAAATCTCCAAAACCTCGGAGCCCTGGAGGGAGCCGCTCTCCTGCTCACAAACCCATTCCACGGAGCGAGCCTGGAGCGTCCACCCCGGCCCCTTCTGCGGTTTCAGCGCTGCCATAGATGCGGCTCTGCATGCCAGGGTCACCTTTGATTATTCCCTGCCTGTGCCGTGCCGTGTGGTGTGTGAGGCGGATCGCTGGGGAGTTCTGGCAGCATAAAGCACGATGTGCTATCAGCTGAGTAAATTGTAAATCGAAATTACTACAAACAAATCGCTGTTATTCAAACCTGTTCACAAAAGTTGTAATTTTGCTCATATTAGAGCTGAAAAACCAGAATAGATTTATTACTATTTATGTAATTTAGGAGTTAGTCTGTATTTTTTTTAATGCATTCATTTTGAAAGTGGCATGTGCAGGGCATTTAAAATATACTTGGGAAGATTTTTCCCTGTTCTGTGTTAACTCAGTTTGCTTAATTGACCGTACACAGAGATGATGGATGGCATCACAGCCAGGTGTGCTGTGGGGAACAGCACTGCGGGAGGCAGCACAGCCAGCTGTGGAGTAACACTGCATGGAAATCTGCAGAAAAGTCCATTCTGACTGGCTTTTACAGCAGTCAGGTAAGTCTTGATCACATAAACGTTATTTCTGTTCAGTTTTTTGTAAGGAGATTTACTGTTCTTCATAGCAGCTATTAGAGATACTAGCCAGTGAGATTTGTGTAATCCAGCTATATTGTGGCTACTGCTCCATCAGCACTGTACACTTTTTCTAAACAGCACTCAACAGTTTGCTCTCATTTAAAAATGAGAACAAAGTTGTTCTGTGTGTATCGTCCCAGAGTTCTGTGTCAAAAAGTGTGTGTGAACCAGGGGTGTATTATCAGAAATACTTCACTACTTGTTTCACCATTGGATATTTATTAAAAAAACCCATACTAAATATTCAAACATATTAAGGCTGCAATCTGCATCACAATAAATCCACTCTTTGGCTCTCAGATACTCTTGCTTTTTGTGATCCATGCTCATGGTAGCCATACAAGGTGGACAATATTAAACGAATATGGAGAAGTCTGTCCTTTACTGAAGATCTGTGCTGGCAAAACAAAAGTGCCTAAAGGTTGTTTGTCTTTAAGTGTGTTTAATCACAGGAAGACTCAACGCGAGGCAGTAATGCGAGGGCTGCTTTCCCCAAGCCCTTCCTCTCTGTTCGTGCACGGCCGCTGCAGACTGAACACTGTTAAATGTGTTTAGGCGCTCGCATGCCTACAGCTGCCTTTGATTAAATTTATTCCAAGAACAAACTCAGTCCAGCTGTAGGCTTTGTTAGCAACCATTCACACTGTTTTTCTTATTTCAAATGACGTGGACATATGTTACTGTGAAATCGCTGCCAAGGTGGTTCTTTGCTGTGCACTTGTACGTGCCAGAGTCTGAGGGTAGGGGACTGGGGATGAGCAGTGTCCCCAGGGGACGGAGCAGCTCGATCCCAGGCACTTGGCCTGGGTGACCAGGAGAGAGCACAGAGCGGTCAGGGAGCTCCCAGGAGATCTCAGGTTTGGGGACTCCCAGCGCCGCGCAGTGGAGCTGAAAAGGTGCACCAGGCACGGCGCGTACGGTGTGCGGCGGCCGGTGTGTGATCCTCGGGGCGTAGGCGACAATCACCACGGGGATGGTCACAGAGGCATCTCCAGCGGCGTTGTGGGCCGTGCACACGTAATCACCGCTGTCGCGAAGGGTGGCGTCGCGGATGACCAAGGTGCCGTTCTCCAGCAGGACGTGTTTCCCGCGGAGCTGCGGCCGGGCCAGCACGGAGCCGCCAGGCAGGGTCCAGGCCGTGCTGGGCCTGGGGCTGCCCTCGGACAGGCAGTGGAGTGACAGCACCTCCCCACTGGCACCCTGCACCGGCCCCTGCGGGCGCGTGAGGATGCTGGGCTTGCGGCCCACTTCGAGCACCATCAGCTTTTCAATGTAGCCGACTTGATTCCGGGCAGCGCAGCGATACTTCCCGGCCTTGTCCCCGTCGGAGTTATAGATGGTGAGGGTCCCGCCACTTCCCGTGACAAACTGGGATGTCTTGATGCTGCCGGAGAACCAGGTGCCATTGGGCAGCATCCAGCTGATGTCAGGTGGAGGGTTTCCATCCACAGAACAGTTCAGCGTGGTGGGTTTTCCAGGTTTTGCTATTATTTTTTCGTTAAATGGATTTTTAAATGTGGGTCGCCTTAGCATTTCTAACACCTCCAGCTGCACCACCAGCATGCTCTCTCCCCCATCATTACGTGCCACACAGATAAAATCTGCCGTGTCAGAAGGCCGTAAGTTCCGAATCTCCAGTGTCCCGTTTTCATGTACAACAATCCTGCTCCCATAATATGGAGCTGTTAGGAAAATATTGTCAGGCATGATCCACATAATCTGAGGGAGAGGTGTCCCTTCTGCTTGACAGTCAATTTGTTTCTTTGAGTGCCTCACTGCCGTCACTTTCATGATGGTTTTGTTCCCATATAAACCATTTATGATGGGTGGCCTGGCAACAACATCCAGTTTGTACAGTTTTGTATCGTCCCCTCCAGGATTGTGAGCAACACACGTGTAGTCCCCGGCATCCAGCAGCCTGGCTTGGCTGACAGACAGAGAGCCATTGCCGTGCAAGACATGTCGCGCTGTTGACGAGGAGATCATGTCACTGGAAGGCAGCAACCAGAATATTTCGGGCTTGGGTTCTCCAGCAGCTTCACAGTCCAGCACTGCCGTATCTCCAGCTCTCACTTTCCTGTACGTCTTGTAATTATGCTTTATCTGAGGGGCCGTCATGACAACGGTGATGCGTATCTTCATTTCGTCCCTTCCCAGCGTGTTCTGAGCGTAGCAGGTATAATCCCCGCCTTCTGTTACACCAGCTTTGTTGAGATACAGAGTGCCGTTGTCAAAGAGGATGTACCTGCGAGACCTGCGGCCACTGTCGTCTGCCAGCATCGCGTTATTGATCACTGTTCCATCAGGCAAACCCCAGGATATTTCCGGTGCGGGTGACCCAGAGGCCTTGCAGTCCACTTGGAAGTCTTTTCCATACGGCACCAGTTTCTTAAAATACTGCTTCTGGTCAATCTTGGCTGGTTTCATCGTGATGCTGACTCTCATCAGTACCAGATCATCCCCAATTTTGTTCCTTGCAACACACAAGTAGTCCCCTGCATCCTTTTCAGTGACTGACTCAACAGCCAAGGATCCATTGGGGTACACGTGGATTCGGCTCCCCATTCTGTAGGGGGGAAAAAAGAGGAGAGTTAGGGAACGAAACACTGGGGGTGAGTACTGCGCGTTGGGAGCGACTGGCGGCGTTAACAGCACCATACGCTACAGGCGCTCTCCAGTGGCCCCATGTTCACACCACCCACAGCCCCAGTGGTTACAACCTGACATTGCTGCAGCCAAAGCATGATTACCATCCATTCCCTTCATTCAAACAAGACTTGTGTTCATTTTGGTTATGACAATTGATGTGGTGTGTTATTAGGCGTATAATAACAAGCCATCACCACCAATGTTTCACCACTGTTAAACGTTTAAAAGTGAATTTAGTTCACAGTGTATTGTTTCAGCGATGCAACAGCCCCTTATGAAACACCAGAGAAGACAGCATTTGATATTTCCAAAAGAAAGACTCCTACCTGTGCCACTGGTCCACAACTGCCTTGGAGGGTAACCTCCAGATGATGCTGGGCTTGGGCTCCCCAGTTGCTGTGCAGTTCAGAAGTAACTTGTCCCCAAAATTTAGCCGTGTCATTTCTGGAGAGGCCATAGCTATTTTCGGGAGCACATCCCTGTGCTGCACCATGAGGCTCACCACCCTCCTCTCTGAGCCCGTCGAGCTCGTGGCTATGCACTCGTAGGTGCCGCTGTCTGCAGGGCCGACACTGCTGAGGTGGAGGGTGCCGTTGGGGAACAGGAACAGCTTCGCTTTGACGAACTGCAGGGGTTTCACCACGGTGCCGTCAGAAAGAACCCAGTGGACACTGGGCTGAGGCTTCCCTTGCACAGTGCAAGGCAGCCTCAGGTTTTCCCCCGTGGCTCCTTCGAGGCGTTGTCTCTTCTCCTCCAGAATGGTGGGGGGTGCCGCAATCACCTGCAGCTTCACAGCCCGCGTGTCGGTGCCCGCTGGGTTTTTTGCCACGCACGTGTAGAGGCCCCTGTCGTAAACAGTGACTTCCTGGATAACTAATGTGCCATCCAGCTCCACACGAGCTCTGCCATTTCCCGCGGAAGAGCTGGAGACGTGCGTCTTGTTGGCCAGCACCCAGGCAATGGCAGGGGGGGGCCTGCCCTCGGCCCTGCATGGCACCGCCAGCGCCTTCCCCGAGTGAGCCGTGAGGAGCTGCCACCTGGGGCCGGCCACGCGGGGCGGGAAGGCCAGCACCGACAAGGTGACCAGGAGCCGTGCCACGCCGTGCAGGTTGGCTGCAGTGCACAGGTACTGCCCTCGGTCCCCCAAGCTGGCCCGTACCAGGGCCAGCGTGCCATTGGCAAACACCCTCCATCGGCCCACGCCTCGGCCTGCTGCAGCGTCCAGCCCTGCAGAAACAAGGGACA